CACGCACACACGCCGAACACACGCGCTCACGCACACACGTCACACACATGCGCTCACGCACACACGCGCTCACGCACACACGCCGCACACACGCGCTCACGCACACACGTCACACACATGCGCTCACGCACACACGCGCTCACGCACACACGTCGCACATACGCGCTCACGCACACACGTCACACACATGCGCTCACGCACACACGCGCTCACGCACACACGTCGCACATACGCGCTCACGCACACACGTCACACACATGCGCTCACGCACACACGCGCTCACGCACCCACGTCGCACACACGCGCTCACACACACGTCGCACACACGTGCTCACGCACACACGTCACACACATGCGCTCACGCACACACGCGCTCACGCACCCACGTCGCACACACGCGCTCACACACACACACGTCGCGCACACGCGTTCACGCACACACGTGCTCACGCACACACGTCACACACATGCGCTCTCAGCCTCACGCACACACGTCGCGCACACGCGCTCACGCACACACGATAAAAAAAATCGTGAGCCCCCTTAGGTCTTTGCCCCCCCCCCCCTAATCCAAAACTGCTTCCGGCGCGCCTGACCTCACTTACGTAAAGGAGACCGGCCAAACTAAACTGATCAACTGAATCGCAGTATAACTATTACAATTGAATTTGTCTTGATTTTTTTTAAACTTTATTTTCAATTTTTTTGCCTTCTAAATCTTAGGGGGGCGACTGCCCCCATCGCCCCCCCCCTGGCTACGCCACTGGTTGTAGCGGGTTCAAGTTTCGTGTGCTACGGGGCCGCCCGTTCGGGGCCTTGGCCAGTTGGGTTGGGTACTATGTGGTTCGTCATGTAGGGGCCCGTGAAGGGGGCCTACTGCGGGCGCGGTGCTTGACTTGAACGATCCCGAGGGCTTATTGCGGGCCGGATTGCGGGATTAGCTTTGTAAAGGGGGGGCTATTTGCTACCGCGCGGGCCCGCGTTAGAAGTTGAAAAACACCCCCCTAACCCGCAAAATTTGGAACGCACATGGGGTAATACCGGCATATATATAGGCCCCCCACTCTATATAGTGACCCCCCCCCCCGGGAGTAGAAATCAGTGGTCATTGACCGATTTCGAGCAGCTGCCTATCACGTGCACTCGGATAGAAAAGTCCTTTGCGGATCTGTTAAAGCTGAGAGGCGTTTACGCGATGAAACGGCATGATGGAAAATTTCTCATCGTTGTCAAGCTGTAGCTTTAACATGATTCAGTTAGATGAGATCTGTTCGCACGTTTGCATAACATCGCCCACTTAGCAAAGCCACTAGGTACAGTCTAAACCGTACCGCGGGCACGGCACAGTGGTCGAGGTGTGCACGTGCTTTGCGCATGTTTTCGGATTGTTGACGCTGTCGAGGTGAGACATCGAGAATTCGAGATCGGAGATTCAAGCACCAGTCGAAACCAAGTTTCGTGTAGAACGGACGTAGGCTATAACACGTACGTAGACCACAGAATCTCACTGATTTGATAGTGTAAGGTAAGTTGATTGAACACCTGTTGATTCTAACTTTGTCTTTGGCATGTTTCATTTGGTATCTTATTGTTTTACCGTTATTTCTTATTTTAATTTGTCAGTTGTGAACGTGCATCTTACGAATTGTGCATTTTACGAATTCGTTATTGCATATGGTAGGTACCGTTTTAACCGCACCGCTGCATGTGGCGTCTATATAATAATTAAATTCGTGGAGGACGAATGTCAGTATATATACTACTAAAGATAATGAATTAAACTCGTAGTTTCCGTATATTTTATAAAATTACTGACCTGGCAAACTACCCGCCGAATACAGCTGTGCCATCCCACTCTGCAGCTCCTCCACACCTCTGCCATCTTCTGCCCTTGTCCATCTACCCGTTCTATCTATTCATTCAATTCATTCGTTCAATCACTTTATTTACACTCATACAAATTACATTTAGCAGAAAGGTATAACGTGAAACAAAATCAATAGAAGTGATGGAGGGCACACTTTCCCTTCATAATCTTGAAATAGTTTTTATTATGCATTATTTTAAAATGCCACTCCCATTTCGCCTACGCCCGTTTTGCCTACTCCCATTTCGTCTACTCAGAATGGGTAATCAGGGACGTAGGCAGGGTTCGACATAGCTCTAGTACCCACGGATAGCTGCCGCAGGCCTCCCCCTTTCTCCCCCTCTTCCCCGGCTCTCCCCCTCTTCCCCGGCTCTCCCCCTCTCTCCCTCCCACCTCGCATGTGCCGAGGAACTGCCATAGGGGCCTGTTTATCACAGCTGACCTCGTTTCCCCGAGCCGGTTTCCTCTGTTGCTTTGGCAGGGCCTGGAGCAGTTCACATGATATAATGGAGTGGCTGACCATTCTTGGCAGCTGAATACTATAGGCAATGATTTTAATTATAGCTATGGACTTTGAGGGGGTTGGTTATTACAACACTTGTATGGCCAGTGCTGCCCATATAGATATACGTCTAGTGCGTCCGTCTAATGCCGTCTATTCAATTAATTTACGTCCATTGCTCATTGTTATTTGTGTTTTAATATTAACTGCAAATACTACATCCAAAAAGAAGAATATTCTTCACCAACTCTGATATATAATATGTGCAATCTAAATATGAATCTAACCAAAACCTGAATTCTAAGCTCTAGTGACATTACCTAAGAATTCCATGTGGGATTCAACAAGTTTTCGAAAAACAATTAAGAAAAATAACTGCACCTCTGTATAGGTCACCTCTCAAAGGATTGGTTCATCTGGCAAGTGCTAATCTAAATTTGTTTTGTTTGCATATATTTTTTAACTATCCTATAGTATCTGTACCCTAAAATTGGTTAATCAATGAAATTTGGTGGCATCATTTAAACTCTTCCAGCCCCTTAGCCCACAGCACCCCATATATAAACATACACACTGCCCAGACCTCCCATATCACTAACTATATTCGGCCAGGCAGTGATATTGAAAACGCACTAGCCTGGCCTATGAATCTAGTTTGTTCTCCTACGAGTCATTTTATCCAGCATTGCATGTAATTGTAATAGATGTTTGCTAAAGTAGTATGTAGGTAAGCCTATACAAAGAATTGTGGGTACATGGAGGATATTAATTACCTTGTTTGATGTATTGTTGGTAGTACAGAATAGCATTTCTTAGAAAAGTCGTATTGCTTGTGTTCAGTGTGAATGTTTGGCGAACTTAGCCATTTGTGATGTGGAAACTATTGCAGAACACATGTATACTGACACCCTCCTCTGTGCATATATGATGTGCTCAGTTTTAGATGTGTCTGTGTTTCTATTTAGTGACTTGCCATCATGCCGTCGTTTATGATGTCATCGTTAGGAGGTACAGATAAGTCTGTGCTTTCAAAGTACCTGACGCTGCCGCAGGGCAGCAAAACGCAGTGCATGTACATCTGGATTGATGGAACCGGAGAATTCTTACGTGCAAAGACAAAGACTGTGGATGAAGTGCCGAAAAGTCCGAAAGGTACATAGGCCTGCACTATCGTAGGTTAAACTGTAGCCTGGGTGCATGTGTAAACATGCACATTAGAGTTTAGAACTTAGCCTGACCCTAGTAACTAACTAAGTACCTAGATAGTTACTAGTAGTAATCAACATGGCGCTGTTATCAGATATGGTCCTTTCCTCATCTCAGAATCGCCAACAAAAACGAGAAATATTTATTGGGCCCGTTATTGTCACGAATGTGTATATATGCATATTGGCCACGTTATAAACAGTGAAGGTAAACAGAACCTTAAATTGCATGATGGCCAGACATTGTGCACATATTGCTAGGTTGAAAACACGTGTAATGTCAGAGTGTGGGCAAATTGGCTAATGTTTGCTACCTTGGTGGCAGCTGTTGCCTTCGGCTTGAAATATGTTATAATGATGCTGTTGCTAAAAAGTAATAAAGGCTATTTATGATCATCTACAGAGCTACCCATATGGAATTTCGATGGCTCCAGTACCTACCAAGCAGAGGGTAGCAACAGTGACGTGTATCTCTACCCACGAGCTCTCTATGAAGATCCATTCAGGGGTGGTCCGAATAAACTTGTGCTATGTGACACTTATAAATACAACAAGAAGCCAACAGGTACACACCTTATAGTACAGTTACACAGTTCTTTTGGGAAAATACACAGATGCCTACCAGGGGAAAAAATACACGGGGGCGGCGGGCGATTTCGCCCCCGAAATGCCAAAAAGAGCCCCCGAAAATACGATATCGGGGGCGCCCCCAAAAGCAAAAGT